TTCCTTGGTGTGAGGGTGCCAGAGCCCTGGCACAGGCTGCCCAGAGAGACTGTGGAGGCTCCTTCTCTGGAGATGTCCAACCCGCCTGGATGCCACCCTGTGCCCCGTGCTCTGGGTGTCCCTGCTGGAGCAGGGGCTGCACTGGGTGATCCCTAGAGGTCCCTGCCAACCTCAACCATTCCGGGATTCTGTTTGCTTCCTTCCTGTTCCTGGGAGGGAGGGCAGGAAGGATGGATCTCCTGGGAATCGGGGGTGTTTTTCCTGTGGGTAAATGGGAGCGTGGGGGGTTCCCTGCGGCGCCGTCGGCAGCTTCCCCTGTGCTGCTCCAGGAGGGTGTCCCGGAGGAGACCGATGACTTCGGGGAGTTCCGCATGCGGGTCTCGGACCTGGTCAAGGACCTCATCTTCCTGGTGGGCTCGGTGGAGTGCTTTGCTCAGGTGGGTGCGCGGGAGCGTCGCGCTGCCAGCGGGGTGGCCCTGGCCCTGCCACGTGTCCCCAAGAGGAAGTGTCTGGCCCTGCCACGTGTCCCCAAGGGGGAAGCTCATGCGAGGCCGGAGCCCGGGGCCTCCCAGGGAGGCCAGCGAGCGGGTGGTGCTGGCTTGGGGTGGAGCTGGTGCCTGCAGGCCGCGTTTGCAGCTTCCTTAGCCAGCGATTCCCTTCCTCACGGCCTCCTTAGCCAGCGATTCCCTTCCTCACGGCCTCCTTAGCCAGCAGTTCCCTTCCTTGCAGCTTCCTTAGCCAGCAGTTCCCTTCCCGGCAGCCTCCTTATCCACGATTTTCTTCCTGGGGGCCACCTTAGCGAGTGATTCCCTTCCTGGCGGCCTCTGTAGCGGGCTGGTCCCTTCCCGGTGGCCTCCTTAGTGATTCCCTTCCCAGTGGCCTCCTTAGTGATTCCCGTCCGGGTGGCCTCCTTAGCAATTCCCTTCCCGGTGGCCTCCTTAGAGATTCCCATCCCAGCAGCCTCCTTAGCCGTTCCCGTCCCGCGGCCTCCATAGCGGTTCCCGTCCCTCCTTGCAGCTCTACGCCACCCTGAAGGACGGGAACCCTCCCTGGGAGGTGACGGAGGCCGTCCTCTTCATCATGGCCTCCATCGCCAAGAGCGTGGACCAGTGAGTGCGCTGCGGCCCCGGGATTCTCCCGGGAAGCCGCCGCCGTGGGCGGAAAGCGGGATGCACCGGTGGGAAAGGGAGGTTCTGCTGCCGCCCGGCTCCGGTGCCACCCGCGAGCGGAGCGGGATTCGCTGTGCGGAACCCACGGCTCCCGGCGGGAATGGGAGCGGGCCCCACGCTGGGAATGGGAGCTGCTCCCTGCAGTGGGAATGGGAACGGGAGCTGCTCCCTGCAGTGGGAATGGGAAAGGGAGCTGCTCCCTGCAGTGGGAATGGGAACGGGGGCTGCTCCCTGCAGTGGGAATGGGAATGGGGGCTGCTCCCTGCAGTGGGAATGGGAACAGGGGCTGCTCCCTGCAGTGGGAATGGGAATGGGGGCTGCCTACCCCACTGGAAAACAGGAACGGGGGCTGCTTCCCACTCTGGGAATGGGAATGGGAGCTGCCCTCCACACTGGGAACAGGAATGGGAGCTGCCCCTGCTACTGGAAATAGGAATGGGGGCTGCCCCCAACACTGGGAATGACAATGGGAGCTATCCCCACACTGGGATTGGGAATGGGAGCTGCCTCCTGCTCTGGGAATGGGAATGGGAGCTGCTCCCTGTGCCAGGAATGGGATCGGGAGCTGCCGTCTGCACTGGGAATGGGATTGGGAGCTGCCCCATGTGCTGGGAATGGGATTGGGAGCTGCCCCCCGTCCTGGGAATGGGATTGGGAGC